GGCGAACTTTTTGAATCTTTTTTTTGTTTCCGTGCTCTCATATTTATTTTTAGTATGTAAATAATTTGTCAATGAACATCGACGTGAACAAAACGCTGACCGTTGCTGAAGGCGTTTATCATCAACTGTTCAGTTCCCAAGACCAGCTACCTGCCGAGGTGTTAACTATGTTGGGCTTCGTGAACGAGTCTACCAAACCCTCGTCTGTGCAAGCCGTGTGAAATCGAAATTGCGGAACAGTGCGAACTACTGCTGGGCATCAGAGTCGTTATTGAAAGTTGCAGTTGTATTTCTGACGATACCGTACCAGTTATGATATGCGGGGTATATAACAATTTCAGCTTTGTGCCTTTTTTCGAAAGGCGCATTCTGTCCATATCTAATGTTTGGGGATTTTCATTCCGTTACATATCTTATGTACTGAAGCATAATTTTTTCACCAAAATAACTCTTCGTCTTCCAGAGTTCTTTTTCTTGATCTTAATGGCAGCGGACAGTTCATAGATTCAATTTGTTCGTGTACTGTAAAGTAATTCAATTTTGTTTTATCTCGTAATCGAATTTTTTTATCTCACCTTCGTAGCATTTATCATGCCGTAAAATACAGCCTTGAGCAATTTTGCTGCGGTCTCCATTATCACGGCCTTTAGGTGGTCCACTGCTGCTTAAACGCCCCTCCCAAACGGACATCTGTTGTATGTGATTTTCATCGACTTTGATCCAGCAAACTTTTTCAGCTCATCTTGCGATCTATATTCTTGTTTCTGTGTTGATAATAACTTTGAAGTTCAAGAAACTGTGATTTATTTAACGATGCTGTTTTGTTCGCTTTGACGAAATTCTCGTTATATAGTGCATTTCTTACTGGCTGCGAGCATCTGTTATTCCGTAGTTTGTCGGCTGTAGTTCCAAACGGTAATGATACGTTATCCATTGTAATTACATTGCAAGATTGTATTTTGCATATTATTACTTCAGGGCATATGCAATACATTTTACATAGGGTAGGTTGAGACCTGTCTGCTCTTCTCAAGTAAATGTAATGAATGAGATGATAATAATACTTCGATTCGCTATAGCTGTCCTACTGTATTGTCTGTCTTCAGCTGAATCAATTTCTTTATATATAGATTCAATGAGCGAGAACGCTAAATTTTCTCAGCCTTTGAACTAAGTAAATGGAGTCTGTCAGAACCAACGTTTATCGTTCAAGAAAATCGGAACGTTTTCAAAAATTGTTTGCGTTCGTTCGTAGGGTCTACTAGTATTCTTGTCAAAAATGACACTATCGTATGCGTGTTGAATGCTGTTCGAGCTAGTAAAATAATTGGTTGCATCGCGTGATAGTTGTTCTAGAAAGTTACTATGAAAAAAGTAGTGTTGAGGGTGAAAATTTCCGTTTATAACTGTTTTGTTCAAACATGCTGATGATGCCGTAGCTGTATCCACCAAAATCCCTCAGCAGCAGTTGAGCTGAGTTGAGTTTTGCTTGGAAAGAACAGAAAATTCAGACATCTGTAGAGCTTGACAAAGTCTTTGTGAACAAGGTCGGTAAAGGAAAAATACGCAGCATGACGTACTAAACACAAATCAAGAGGTGTGGAAATAGTATTGCTCGATAGAAGACAGGCCGGATTCGATCACGTATATGGCTAACATGGGCGTTTCGGCTAACAACACTGTTGATCGTGACAACTACGAATCCAATTGCTGAACCAGGTACCAGAATGACAACAGACCAAAGGACCAACTGCAGAAATTAACCCGGACGATACTGAAGAAAGTTCCTCAGTGACAAGTCGAAACGTTGATACTGTATTAGCGTTATACGTATAAAAACCATTTAATACATTTTCCGGTTTTTAGTGTCTGACCACTGCACAATCAATATTTCGCCATTTGATTGGAAAAGACAAAGAACTGTATTTTTCACCGTAGCAAAAGCAAACAAACCTGAATTGACACCGCGTGCCTTCGGAAGAGTAATAAGTAGGGAACAACGAAGAAATGAAATGTCATCACACGAATTATCATATTACCACAACAAATAGATCGCATAACATGACTTCAGGAATATTTTTAAGATCTTCAAAAGAAACGAAAATTGCTGAGCTGGATACCGCTGATTGCTTGGCATGATGAATAAGCGTAAGAGGTCGACTGTGAACTTCAGGAGTGCCGAGATAAATTTCACTTAAGGAACTATTTTCTCTTTAGCCGTAAATTTCCTTAAGCAATGAATTACCTCACCCTGCATCGGTGCAACCAGCCGAGAAATCGGCATTAGGTCGGTAACTTGCCAATAATAAGCACAGCATAATAATCTGGTCATGATAGAACCGATGAGTAGTACCTGTCTGATCTGAGCCTTTTTTGTGCCTGTGTTTGCCAATTCTCACCTGATAACTGATTATCTAGTGCAAATAATTAACAAAAGATGTAATCCAGATTTTCTATTTTCTTTCTTTGTTCCTGTACTTACTGTATTCATAAACTTAAAATTCCATTCACGTTAAATGCAAATTACGGTTATTATTCATCTGCTAGCATGCTTCAAAATTATAACTTTGCAAGTATTGACAGCCTTAAAAGTTGAATTCCGAAGGTTTGGTATGTTGTCTGCTTTATCACGGGTTTTTTAGACTTTTTATTTTCCCGCACAGTGATAATCAGGTAAGATGAAACGATAGAATGTTCGACGAATTCGTAGAACATTCGTGAACGGCTTCATACGACACATTGAAGGTGAGGTGGACGCGTAGTGAGTTGTGCTGTGTTTTGTGCGGTTATTGTGTCGTTGGAGCATGTCTGTGACGGGCATAGACTTTGGCAACCAAAACTGCTACATTTCTGTAGCGCGGCAAGGCGGCATCGAAACCGTAATAAACGATTACAGCCTCCGCGCGACACCGTAAGTTAAACTTTACATATTTTTAGAACGTATGACGAAATTTTGATGTTTATACGAATTTATGCTTTTCGATTGTGAAATGAATCAGCGGCAGTTAATTTTATCAATAATAGTCGATGTTCAGTTTTGTTTTTATGTGTAGTTCTTTCGAAAAGCGACTTAGTGTACAACTAATAAGAAACGTGTTTTCCTGCTCAAGAAGTTCTTGAAGTTGGGCAGAGCTTGTTAGTGATACCGTTAACGGCATTTTGCGAATAACAAGGGCAGAGTTAAATGACAGATAAGTCTGCCGAAGTGCTGGCGATTCGACTGAGTTGCAAATATGGCCGACACCATCTGTTTCTGCTCATAACCTTACATGTTTGCAATGATGTTTACACATCTCCCCTGTTTGTTTGCAGTTCCTCTTGTCAAGCGAGTATCGACGCTGTATTACAGCAGAATTTATGAATCGACTGCTCTGTGAT